TTTTGTTGCCAATGCTTTTGGTGTTTTAATCATGAAGTCTTTGCCCATGTGTATGCCCTGAATAGTATTGCCTAGGTTTTCTTCTAGGGTTTTTATGGTTTTAGGTCTTATGTTTAAATCTTTCATCCATCTTGGGTTAATTTTTGTATAAGGTGTAAGGAAGGGGTCCAGTTTCAGCTTTCTGTATATGGCTAGCCAGTTTTTCCAACATCATTTATTAAATAGGGAATCCTTTTCTCATTGCTTGTTTTTGTCAGATTTGCCAAAGATCAAATGGTTGTAGATGTATGGTGTTATTTCTGAGGGTCTCTGTTCTGTTCCATAAGTCTATATATCTGTTTTGGTACCAGTACTGTGCTGTTTTTATTACTATACCCTTGTAGTATAGTTTGAAGTCAGGTAGCATGATGCCTCCAGCTTTGTTCTTTTTGCTTAGGAGTGTCTTGGCTATACCAGCTCTTTTTTGGTTCTGTATGAAATTTAAATTATAGTTTTTTAATTCTGTGAAAAAAGTCAATGATAGCTTGATGGGGATAGCATGGAATCTATAAATTACTTTGGGCAGTATGGCCATTTTCATGATATTGATTCTTGAGCGTGGAATATTTTTCCATTTTTTTGTGTCCTCTCTTATTTCCTTGAGCGGTGGTTTGTAGTTCTCCTTGAAGAGGTCCTTCATATCCATTATAAGTTGTAATCCTAGCTGTTTTATTCTCTTTGTAGAAATTGCAAATGGGAGTTTACTCATGATTTGGCTCTCTGTCATTATTGGTGTATAGAAATGCTGTGAGTTTGCACATTGATTTTGTATCTTAAGACTTTGCTGAAGTTGCTTATCAGCTTAAGGAGATTTGGGGCTCAGACAATAGGGTTTTCTAAAGACACAATCATGTCATCTGCAAACAGAGACAATTTGACTTCCTCTTTTCCTATTTGAATACCTTTTATTTCTTTCCTTTGCCTGCGTGCCCTGGCCAGAACTTCCAATACTATGTTGAATAAGAATAGTGAGAGAGGGCCACCATTCCTATTCAACATAGTATTGGAAGTTCTAGTCATAACAATTAGGCAAGAAAAAGACATAAAGGGTATTTAATCAGGAAATGAGGAAGTCAAATTGTCTCTATTTGCAGATGACATGACTGTATATTTACAAGACCCCATCGTCTCAGCCCAAAATCTCATTAAGATGATAAGCAACTTCAGCAAAGTCTCAGGATACAAAATCACTGTGCAAAAATCACAAGTATTCCTATAAACCAGAAACAGACAGAGAGCCAAATCAAGAGCGAACTCCCACTCACAATTGCTACAAAGAGAATAAAATACCTACGAATACAACTAACAAAGGATGTAAAGGACCTCTTCAAGGAGAACTACAAACCACTGCTCAAGGAAATAAGAGAGGACACAAACAGATAGGAAAACATTTCATACTCATGGTTAGGAAGAATAGATAGTGTGAAAATGGCCCATACTTTCTGTGAGATCAATGGTGATTTCCCCTTTATCATTTTTTATTGTGTCTATTTGATTCTTCTTTTTTTCTTTATTAGTCTGGCTAGCAATCTACCTATGTTGTTAATCTTTTCAAAAACCAGCTCCTGGATCCATTGATTTTTTGAAGGGTTTTCCTGTCCCGATCTCTTTCAGTTCTGCTCTGATCTCAGTTATTTCTTGTCTTGTGCTAACTTTTGAATTTGTTTGCTCTTGCTTCTCTAGTTCTTTTAATTGTGATGTTAGGGTGTTGATTTTAGATCTTTCCCACTTTCTCCTGTGGGCGTTTAGTAGTATAAATTTCCCTTTAAACACTGCTTTAGCTGTGTCCCAGAGATTCTGGTACATTGTGTCTTTGTTCTCATTGGTTTCAAATAACTTATTTATTTCTGTTTTAATTTTGTTATTTACCCAGTAGTCATTCTAGAGCAGGCTGCTCAGTTTCCATGTAGTTGTGCAGTTTTGAGTGAGTTTCTTGATGCTGAGTTTTAATTTGATTGCACTATAGTCCGAGAGACTGTTATGCTTTCCATTCTTTTAGATTTGCTGGCGTGTTTTTCTTCCAATTATGTGGTCAATTTTAGAATAAGTGTGATGTGGTGCTGAGAAGAATTTATATTCTGTTGATTTGGGGTGGAGAGTTCTGTAGATGTCTATTAGGTCTGCTTGGTCCAGAGCTGAGTTCAAGTCCTCAATATCCTTGTTAATTTTCTCTCACATTGATCCGTCTAATATTGACAGTGGATTGTTAAAGTCTCCCACTATTATTGTGTGGGAGTCTATGATTCTTTGTAGGTCTCTAAGGACTTGCTTTATGTATCTGGGCGCTCCTCTATTGGGTGCATATGTATTTAGGATAGTTAGCTGCTCTTGTTACATTGATCTTTTTGCCATTATGTAATGCCTTCTTTGTCTTTTTTTTTTTTTTTTAATCTTTGTTTGTTTAAAGTATGTTTTATCAGAGACTAGGATTGCAACTCCTGCTTTTTTTGGCTTTCCATTTGCTTGGCAATATTCCCCCATCCCTTTATTTTGAGCCTATGTGTGTCTTTGCACATGAGATGGGTCTCCTGAATATAGTATGCCTCCGGGTTTTGACTCTTTATCCAATTTGGCAGTCTTTGGGGCATGTAGACCATTTACATGATGTAGTTTCTTCATAGCATCAGTGGTCTTTACAATTTGGTTTGTTTTTGCAGTGGCTGGTACTGATTTTTCCTTTCCATATTTAGTGCTTCCTTCAGGAGCTCTTGTAAGGCAGGACTGGTGGTAACAAAATCTCTCAGCACTTGCTTGCCTGGAAAGGATTTTATTTCTCCTTTACTTGTGAAGCTTAGTTTGGATGGATATGAAATTCTGGGTTGAAAATTCTTTCCTTTAACAATGTTGAATATTGGCCCCCCACTCTCTACTGGCTTGTAGGGTTTCTGACAAGAGATTCTCTGTTAGTCTTATGGGCTTCCCTTTGTGGGTAACCTGACCTTTCTCTCTGGCTGCCTTTAACATTTTTTCCCTCATTTCAACCTTGGTGAATCTGACGATATTGTGTTTTGTGGTTGTTCTTCTTGAGGAGTATCTCGTGGTGTTCTCTGTATTTCCTGAATTTGAATGTTGGTCTGTCTTGCTAGACTTGGGAAGTTCTCCTGGATAATATCCTGGAGAGTGTTTTCCACCTTGGTTCCATTCTCCCTAACACTTTCAGGTACACCAATCAAATCAAATGTAGGTTTGGTCTTTTCATATAGTCCTATATTTCCTGAAGGCTTTGTTGATTCCTTGTCATTCTTTTTTCCTCTAATCCTGTCTTCGTGCTTTATTTTATTAAGTTGATCTTCAATCTCTGATATCCTTTCTTCCACTTGATTGATCTGGCTGTTGATACTTGTATATACTTCATGAAGTTCTTGTGCTGTATTTGTCAGCTCCATCAGGTCATTTATGTTCTTCGTGTCTAATCAGGTTATTCTGGTTAGCAATTCCTCTAACCTTTTTTCAAGGTTCTTAACTTCCTTGCATTGGGTTAGAACATGCTCCTTTAGATTGGAGGAGTTTATTATTACCTACCTTCTGAAGTCTACTTCTGTCAATTCATCAAAGTCATTATCCATTTAATTTTGTTCCCTTGCTCGTGAGGAGTTGTGATCTTTTGGAGGAGAAGAGGTGTTTTGGTTTTTGAAATTTTCTGCCTTTTTGCGCTGTTTTTTCCTCATCTTTGTGGATTTATATACCTTTGGTCTTTGATGCTGTTGACCTTCAGACGGGGTTTCTGTGTAGACGTCCTTTTTGTTGATGTTGATGCTATTCCTTTCTGTTTGTTATTTTTCCTTCTAACAGTCATGCCCCTCTGCTGCAGGTCTGCTGGAGTTTGCTGGAGGTCCACTCCGGACCATGTTTGCCTGGGTATCACCAGCAGAAGCTGCAGAACAGCAAAGATTGTTGCCTGTTCCTTCCTCTGGAAGCTTCGTCCCAGAGGGGCATCTGCCAGATGCTAGCCCGAGCTTTCCTGTATAAGGTAACTCTTGACCCTGTTGGGAGGTATCTGCCAGCCAGGAGGCATGGGGCTCAGGGACCCATTTGAGGAGGCAGTCTGTTCCTTAGCAGAGCTCAAGCTCTGTGCTGGGAGATCCACTGCTCTCTTTAGAGCTGGCAGGCAGAAACGTTTAAGTCTGTTGAAGCTGCATCCACAGCCATGCCTTCCCTCAGGTGCTCTGTCCCAGGGAGATGGGAGTTTTATCTATAAGCCCCTGACAGGGGCTGCTGCTTTTCTTTCAGAGATGCCCTGCCCAGAGAGGAGGAATCTAGAGAGGCAGTCTGACTACAGCAGCTATGCTGAGCTGTGGTTTGAACTTTTCTGTGGCTTTGTTTACACTGTGAGGGGAAAACTGCCTACTCAAGCCTCAGTAATGGTGGATGTCCCTCCCTGCACCAACCTTGAGCATCACAGGTCAACTTCAGACTGCTGTGCTGGAGCAAGAATTTCAAGCCAGTGGATCTTAGCTTGCTGGTCTCCATGGGGGTGGGACATGCTGAGCTAGACCACTTGGCTCCCTGGCTACAGCCTTCTTTCCAGTGGAGTGAATGGTTCTGTGTTACTGATATTCCAGGTGCCACTGGGGTATGAAAAAAAAACCTGCAGCTAGCTCAGTATCTGCCCAAATGGCTGCCCAGTTTTGTGCCTGAAACCCAGGGACCTGGTGGTGTAGGCACCCAAAGGAATCTCCTGGTCTGCGGGTTATAAAGACTGTGGGAAAAACTTAGTATCTAGCCTGATTGCATTGTTTCTCAAGACACAGTCCTTCAAGGCTTCCCTTGGCTAGGAAAGGGAATTCCCCAACCCCTTGCACTTCCCAGGTGAGGTGGTACCCCACCCTGTCTTGGCTTGCCCTCCATGGAATATACCCACTGTCTAACCAGTTCCAATGAGATAAGCTGGGTACCTCAGTTGAAAATGCAGAAATCACCCACCTTCTGCATTGATGTCGCTGGGAGATGCAGACCAGAGCTGTTCCTATTCGGCCATCTTGCCAGCCACCCCAGGTACATATGTTTATAACAGTTTGAGGCAGAATGTGATAATAAGAAAAGTAGCTAAAGTTTCTTAAGTAACAAGACTGAACTGTCGCTTTTTCCTGTATACAACCTCCCTTGTTCTAGTAGACGGTAACTCTATCTTTTCAGTTGCTCAGGCTTAATGCCTTGATTCTTTCACATTCCATATCGAATTTCTCACAGTATTTAATTAGGTTTGCAAAGCACATCTCAAATTTGACCACTTCTCACCATCTCCAAGGCTATCCTTCTTTTATTCTCCCTACTCCTACCCCCAGACTCCAACCTGAGCTGCCGTCATCCATCACCTAAGGTACAACAGTAGCAACAGGTCTTTTTGATTTTTGCTTTTCTCCCCTACAATCTATTTTCAACAGAGAGCCAGGCTGAGCCCCTTAAAATGTCAGTCAGATTATGCCACTCCTTTGCCCAAAGTCCTTTCAATCATTCTACATGTCGCTCAGAGTGGAAACTAAAGCTCTTAGACTAGCTTTCAGGGTCCCACCTGATTGAAAACTATTATCCTATTGACTTCATCTTCTGCCACTCTTTGCTGGCTCTCCTTCTAATCCTCTGAGCCCCTACACTTGGGCTTGGCTCAAGCTCAAAATGTTCTTCCACTGGTTACCTGCTCAGCTTACTTCCTCACCTCCCTTGAGTTTTGCTCCAGTCCCACCTTAATAAGGCTTTCCTATTCTATTCAGTACTGTAACTTTCCCCACACTTCACTCACCTCTCCCATCCCTCTCACCATGTATTACTTTTCCTTTTGTTTCATATCATTTATCATTGTGGAACATACTCTGAAATTTACCCATTTTATTGATTTACGGTTGCTTGTCTGCCTCCCTGGCTAGAATGTAAGACCTATGTCATTCTTTATTTGTTTTGTTAAATTCCTACAACAGTTTCTGTTGTATAAATATTTGTTGAATAAAAAAAATGGGCACTGACTATTAGCAGAAACTGGACTACTCCATTACATGAATTACTGATTTGAATTTTTCTCAAAACCATAAAGTATTATGCAGTATCATCCTCATTTTATTGATGAGAAAGCATTTGCATAATTTTCCCAAGATCACACAGCTAGTACATGGTAGAGCTGGAATTTGAACCCAGTGAAATAGGATGAGGGACTTACTGATGAGATGCTACTCCTTACACTTGGATAAGTACAAATGATTTGCTTGGCCCCAAAACCAAACAAGAAGTGGGTTAATTGTAAAAAGTATTCAGAGCTCTTGTTTAACCTAAGGAATACTAAAACTTCACTGCAGTAAACTGAAAAAATACACATTGATTTTGCAGAGCCAGACCTTGATTTCATGCGAGAAGGTGGAGTAGGAGGAAGGAGAGGAGGAGGAGTAGAAGAAGAGGAAGAGGAGGAGGAGGAAAACCTCCTAGAGAGTGCATTCTATTTCTGTCAAGCATTTTTCGGACTCAGCGTGCAATCAGTAGTCAGCTAAGATTCAAAAGACTCCTGGTCAGTAGGGCTCTCAGCATTGTGAGGACAGTTGAAAGGGAGGGAAGCTTGTTGGATAATCAGCCCAAACCTGTCTGGGGCGTAAACTCCTGAACTTTAGTGTGCTCTTGTGGTTGATGTTTATTTCTCAGGGAAAAGTTAATAGCCCGTTGTGCTTTGCTTCAATAAATCATGGAAGAAAAGGCAGGGACAAAAAGCTGGGGCTGGATTTAGAGGGTTCTAAACCTTTGGTTTGATAGAACTTACTTTTTACATTTTTTATTCTAGACCAGGTGATCTTTTCCAACTGTAAAACAAGATGCTTATATCAGATGCCAAATTGTTCCACCTGATTCTTTATGCCAGCAATTGTAGACACATTTACAAAAGGGTAACCTGATTATGCAGCTTCTCCACATCCCAAAAGCCAAGCAAGGCATGGGCTAGTTGTAATGGTGTCCATGAGTTTTGCTTTATCCAAGGAATACTAAACCTCCAGTGCAATAAAATGAAACAAAAATATGTTGCTTCTACAGAGCCAGACCTTGATTTTATGTGGGAATAATAATAAAGAGAAGAAGGAGGAAAACTTCCTGGTGAGTGCATCCTACTTTTGTCAAGTATTTTTATGATTCAACATGTAGTCAGTCAGCTAAGAGTCAGAAGTCCCACTCAGCTGAAATTCCAAAACTGAATAATGCATGGTATAGTGTCATTTACTGGAAATGAGAGGTTTGTTTTATGTTCTGAGTTTTACACTCTTTAATATACTGCCCCAGAAATTTTCTTGTTTGGAAACCACAAAAGAACACTAAAGAAGAAGTGTAATTCTGAAATGTGGCAGATAATTTGCCATTCTATTTTCTAGAACATCAGCTCTGTTTCAGTTAGTAAAAATGGCTTACTAAGTAAATCAGTTTTGGCTCCAAAAATTATTCAAAGGAATCCAGTTTTCTTCCTTCCTCACTAAATAAGCAATGAGAAAGATGGAAAAAATATCAGTTTGCAGAAACACCAAATGATTAGCCTATATAGGCTACTTTTGTATTTCAGCTGTCCCTGGGTGGCCCCAGAAAAACAATCAATATCTCTGAAAATGATAGAATGAGTTGCACATGTTTAAGCAGTTACTATGTGTTAGGCACTATTCAAAGTAGTCTACATATGCTATCTCACTTAATCCTGCAACAAACCAGTATTTTGGTTATCTGTTTGCACAGCATTGCTGCCTGACAAGCAACAACAAAGTCTCAGTGCATTCAATAATAGACATTTGTTGCTCATGTATCTGGAGTCAGCTGGGTGACTCTGCTGATTGTGACTGGCTCACTTATATACTGGGTGTCAGCTGATCAAGGCTGGCCCCAGCTGAGACTACCTGGGAGACTCAATTTTACCCTAATATGCCTCTCTTCTTTCAGCAGGCTCATCTGAATACATTCTCCAGGTGATGGCAGAGGGGCAAGAGAGCAAGCAAAAAGAAGGACAGAAGGCTTCTTGTGGTCAGAACTGGCTTGGTGTCACTTCTACCTCATTCTATTGGTCAAAAAAAGTCAACAAGCTGAGCTCAGAGTCAGAATGAAAGGGTACTGCAAGGTTACATGACAAAAGACGTGGATATGAGGAATTGTGAAGAATTGTATCCATTAGAGCGATCAATCACAAAAGGGGCTATTGTCGTTTTCCTCATTTTGTACATGAGGATAGGGAAGCATGGAGATGGTAACATGCCTAAAGTCACGTATCTTCTTAGCTGTGGAACAAGAAAGTAAACCTGGACTGTTTGACCCCAGGACCCATGGCTGTTATTAAAACCACTGTGCACGCTGCCTTGCTCCTATCCTTCACAATCGGGTTTCTGCTCTGACCACTCCAAAAAACATGCCCTCAGGTTACCGATGCCCTCCTATGGACAAATCCGATAGCCTTTGTTAATTGTCCACATCTCTATTCATTCTGTAATACTCCTGCATACTGCATCCTTGGAGCTCTTTTCTCATTTGATTCTGCAGAATCTGTACTATTTTGTTTCTCTTTCTGGCTTCCTCTGTCTGGCTCTCCTCGCCCACTACATAAAGCATTCACTTCTCTTTCTTGGCATCTCCCTTTCCAAGCACACCCACTCTCCTGGTTTCCATTATCTCCCTGTAAATGACTCTCAACTGGCTCTAAGAAAGCTCACTATAATTTTTAGCAACTTAACTCAGTTGTTTGTCCCTAAAAAATAACAGCCCAGGAAAATCAAAGGCTCTTCCCACTAGCATCGTATCATTTCATGTCACTTAGAACTATCCCAGTGCTTGATATTCCACTGCAAGAAACTTTCTATTACAAAGCTAATATAACTGGAAGGTATAAAGCCACTTGCCCGACCTCTCTCCATTCACAGAATTTATAAGAAATTGCCAGCGGTTGACTCTTTTTGACCTACAAAAATGGCAATTTCATGTGGTTCAGCTTAGTAGTATTTATTACTTTGTGCAATAATTTTGTATCTGTGTCTCCCATGAGACTCAAAGCTGCTTGATTGAAGAGATCATGCTTTCTTCTGCTTTGCATCAAGTTGCCTGGTATATGACACCTGTAAGGATTAAACCAAGTAGGTACTAAATAACGGTTTGGTGAATTTAAAAAATTAAAGAAACAATTTGAAATCAATGCACCAGAGGCTAAAGACAGAGTGCTAGGAAGGGAACAGGATGGGAACCGGGACACCAGAGCAAAAGTGGAGTCAAAGACACATTTCCAAAATGGCAATTCCTGTCTTGTGTCAGGTGCATGTACCTCACATCCTTTAAATAACAGTTAAGGTTTTTGTGGGTAGTAAGTGCAATACGTTCCTACTATAAAATAATATAGAGTTCAGTATGTACAAAGGAGGATAAAACCAAAATCACCCCCAATCTCACCGCTTTGTGATAATATCCATTAACTTCCATATTGATGAATTTCCTTGCATGTTTTATCTACAGTATTTCTTTCACATAGTTGATAGCACTCCATATACACAAACCTATATTTTTTCTAAATCTTAATATAATATTAGCATTTTCTAATGTTAGTAGATGTACTTCTTAAATATCACTTTTTAATGCTAAAATTTTTTACAAATAAATGTTTCTCTGTATATTTTGGGTTATTTCCTTAACACATATTCCCAAAAGTAAGAATCAAAAAGTAATTTCAACTAGGTCAAAAAGCATGAAAATTTTTTAGATTCTTGGTACACATTTTTATCCACTATTTTACCAAAAAAATATACCATAGTACACGTCTCCAATTTCAATATCACTGTGTAGTGCTTGCCTTATCACAAAAAAGTCAATATTGAATATTATTATTTTTATTATACTTTTATAACTTGATTGGCAAAATATTAGCCTGCTATTTTAAAGTTTGCCTTTGTTAGATTATTAGAGAGATTGAATTTATTTTCAGACAAATATTTTATTATGTTATTTTCTCAAAACATGGTTTGTTCATAAACTTTGCCTTTTGATCTATTGGAATCTCTTTTCTAATCTGCTAATTTTATGAATATTAGTTTATTTGGCTTATTATATATTTGAATTTACTTTTACTTTTATAAAAATAATACCTGCATATAGTTAAAAGCGACAGAGTACTAAATGATTTGTTACAAAATAACAGCAGTATCTTTCTCCCAAGTCCTCCTCAGGGCCTATTCTCAGGTGTCAGAAGCAACTACTTTCAATGTTTCAGCTCTTTCTTTTGTAATACCTGAACATTTTTTTGACTTTTGAGTCTTAGATGAGATCTGCCATGGTATCCTATTACGAAGAGGAAGATTTTGCCTCTTTTAGACAGCCCCCTCATTTTCTTCTTAATCCCCCTAACGTGGTTAAAGTGCAATTTTTGGTTACATTACAAGTCAGTGTTTCTAAATGCAATGTGGACTTATGCACTAAATTCTGGAATAGAAAAACTGGTGAAATTAAAATGGTCTCTAGTGTTACACAGTACTGTACTGAAAAATGTCACATGGTTATGGAAGATATTAAAATACAGGGAAGCTGGGTGAAGGGTATACAGGAACTCTCTATACTGTATTGACAACTGTTCTATAAATCTAAAATTACTCCAAAGGTAAAAGTTTATTCAAAGCAAAGTCAGTATTTATACTATGATATACATATATTTGCTGCTGAGCCAAAAGGTATGCCATAGTTATAACTCCTTTGGGGTACAATATTTAATTTTTTTTCTAGAATTAATACTGGCCTGATTTTACATTTATTTATGAAACTTTTTTCCAAATCTTCAAGTAAATCTGTTCAACAGATATGGCAAATAGGTGTCAATATTGTTATTCAAGTGCTTAAATACATCTGATAATCTATAGTTAAATATATTTCCCCCTGGTACCTCCTTCCTTGAGCCCTTGATTCTACTGCTCCAATTTAGTTTGGCTCATTTGAAACCTTCCTTTTTCTCTTTCCTGTGTTGGATTTGCTGTTTGCTGGATTCCTGTCTTACTTATTCTTCATTTATCCTTTATTTTGCTAAAATATATCTTCCATATCATTCTAAGAAAGAGTATAGATGGATGAACATTTGAGTCAGGGCTAATGCTATTCTTATTCTACTCTTATACCTGCTTATAATTTGATAGTGTAGAATAATAGCTGGGAATAAGTTTTTCTCTGGATTTGGAAGGCATTGTTCCACAGTCTTGTAGCTTCCAGTGTGACTCTTGGAATAGTCTGACATGATTCTGATTGCAGATTCTAATTATGCACACATTTTTCCCCTGAGTTTCTAAGAGTCTTCTCTTTATCTCTAAAGTAATAATATTTTACTATCATGTATCTTAATTAGTTTTTTTATTCATTCATTCGTTCATTCATTCATTCTTCTGGGCATTTTGACAAGCTCTTTCAACCCAGAAACATGTTTTTCAGTTCTGGAAGGTTGTCTGATAGTTTTTCTTTTTTATTCTTTTTCATCTCTGGAGTTCCTACTGATTGAGTGTTCTGGATTGATCCTCTAACCTATCTCTCCTAATCTTTTTCTTTTTGTTTTTGCTCCTTTCTGAAATATTTTCTCAATTGCATTTTCAAACTCTCCTATTGCTTTAAAAAATATAGCTATCCTTTTTGATGTCAGTTTTTTTGGGCATATTTTTAATTTTTTTTTGAAGGCTTTAGAGCAATAACTGGTGATCCTGAGCTGTCCATTCATATTTAAGAATAAAGTATTAAAAAACTCATTAGAAAACTATCCTAAATAATTTTTAAATGCAATTTTTTTTTTTTGAGACAGAGTTTCACTCATGTTACCCAGGCTGGAGTGCAATGGCGCGATCTCGGCTCACTAAATGCAATATTTTGATTATACAACTGTAGTGGGTTATACTCCAAAGACAAAACTGTTCCAAAATATATTTAAATAGTTTTCAGTAATCATATTGTTTGTAGAATTTGATATTGTTATTCTAAGTTGTAGAGTATGTATTGTTACATAAGACAAATGAGTAATTATATGAAATTCAAATTGTATCATCCTCAGTGTTGCTGACATCAGAATTCTCATCATGGGAAAAAGGGCACAATAGAAGATTAAATAAAAGCTCTAGTCTGAATTTAAATTGAAGCATCATTTTAAATTTGTCATGTATTTTATATATTTTTTTTAAAAAAATAAATCTTAGCCTTGTCTACTGAAAAAGTCTAGAAATAATGACCGACCTAGTAGCAATAACTATCCCTAGCAGCCAAATGATAGTCTTATACCATTTCCCATTAAAAGCAGCCAGAGTTATTTAGAGAAATGGCTGATTCCCGGCCCAGAACAAATTGTCCTATAGACAGCAAGAAAAACTGTGAATGACTAATGGCATCATGTCAAAAGGACTCAGGAGCCCACTTTAAAAGGCCCTTGTAGCCAAAGATGGGACAATTGAGCATCAAAAAGGAAAATAAATGCAATGAATTGAGATGCATTAGATATTTTTAAAATCCTGAGCTTGTAAGCATATGAAGGAAATCTAATTGGTCAACATTAGAGAACACTGGGGAACAAACTCATTATTTTTAAAAGCGGTAAATAAAAAGAAAGAATCAAATAGTTTATGGGGATGTTGCTCTGTAAAAGTATTTTACCTAATAAATAAAGACAAAATAATAGAATTACAATATAGCAATTTTGCAAAATGAATGTAGGTATTGAGCATCAGTGGCTGCTAACACCATTCAAAAAAGACTCAAGGAAACACCATATATCTTCTGATGAGAGAACCCAACACCACCTATGAAGTAGCTTTGTCATAAAAATAAATCTGAATCTGATCAACCTTCATTTTCTACTCTCAAAAGAAATACAGAGGACAGAGGTGCATGTTAAATATAGTGTGATCAATTGCTTCCAGTTTAGCAGTGAAAGTTCTACGTCTCAGAAAACCCCTCAGTCCTAGATAAACCTGTGGGGTTGTCACTCTATGTGGAAAAGTCATCAGGAAAACTCAGAATATGGGAAAGCCTGTCAGTGGGGTGGGTGCAAAGATCTAGATTTTAGTTGATTTCTTCTGCTCTAAGTCCCAAGCTTCACCCCAATAATTGGGTCTGAGTCCTTCTAGAGTTTGGTGAGACAAGCAGCCTGCTGCTTCAGGCTATTTTTGCCCTCAGTCACTCGCACAAAGTTGTCCATTTTCTGGCTATTCCTCCATCTACTTTTTCTCTTTGGTTTTTAAAGTTGTCATAAAATATACACAACAGAAATTTTATCATTTTAACCATTTTAAAGTGTACATTTCAGTGACGTTAAGTCCATTCCCATTGTTGTGCAGCAATTACCACCATCCGTCTGCAGATCTTTTCATTCCCCTCAACTGAAACTCTATACCCATTGAACAATAACTCCTTATTATCCTTTGGCCCCTCCCTAGCAACCACCATTTCACTTTTTGTCTCTTTAGATTTGACTACTTTAGATACTTCACAGAAGTAGAATTATACAGTATTCGTCTTTTTGTGATTGGGTTTTTCACTCAGCCTGATGTCTTCAAGGTTCAACTGTATTTTAGTATGTATCAGAACTTCATTTCTTTTTGTGGCTGAATAACACTGCATTTATATATATTGCGTGTGTGTTTGTGTGTGTACAGACACACACACATTACATTTTTGTTATTCATTAACCTGTCAGTGAACACAGTGCTGTTCTGAGAATTTAGTGAGTTAATACTATTTTGTTTAACTGTGTTATATTGTTAATGCTGGGTTGCTCTTTCTACAGTGATTGACAACAGATGATCTCTCTGTATGCTGCTACATCATTATCAGTTTTTATTTGTGCCTAAACTTTCATCACTAAGTACATATGTTAAAGGATGTAAAAATGGGACTTTTTCTTTTTTGGATTTTTAATTAAGCTCTCAAACCTGGGAACAATAGGTATTAAGTATTCCCTCATTTAAAAGCAAGTCACTTGACTAACTTGCAGGACTTATACAGAGAATGACCCAAAACTAACCTGCCTTCATACATTCTATCACCTCCAGGCTATGTAAGAACAAGGTAAGGATTTACCATGAGGTCCAGAGGGAGTCAGAATGCTGGGACATACCCCACCCCAGAGGGAGATGATGAGAGATTTTCAAAGGGTCCAAAGAGGTCTACTCTGACACCATAGAGAATGAGCCTGACTTCCAGTGGATAAGAGTATGTGTTTCCTGTGGGACGGACAGGTGAAGACTCTGGGTTATATCCTAGAACAAGAGCTGCTAGAAGCCAGGGCTTGACAGAGGAGTCATTGGTGGCCAATAAAGAGGCACTGTCCATAACAGGGAGCTGCAGTAGGAGGACTGCGGTTGGGAATCTGCAACCTTGGAAAAGCCAAAGGCAGAGTCAGTGGGGAAGACAGGTAGAAGATAAAGGTAGGGAGAAATAATGAAGGAGCTATCACAGTTCTTTTCCCTGTTGATCTCAAAACATGATTCACAGCAGAGTTTAGAAAGAGGGTAAGCTTTAGATTGGGTAAAAGACTGAAGTTTGGGTATATGTTATTGAAGTTTTAGAATTTTGAATTAATGGAAAAGTTCTGGAATTTGCCTGAAATTTCATCCAGTGCCACAGCAGGAAGACTAAACAGAGCCATTTTACCAGAGGATGGTGAGAAAAAAATATAGTGGCATTCTGTTTACACACTACTTAGTTCAGGTCAGTTACATATATTAGTACTATTTATTATTCATGGGTTTTCATTTATCTGTCTCTTCATCTATATGTCAGAAGTATGCTGTGATTGTCCATTGTAACTTTCAGTGATGCCTCAATATTTGGCAGATTAAAAAAGATAGTTTTCATTTGGTAAGGGTCTACTGTATATAAGATCATACATTATCTTAACAGCTGTCACCCCACACACGCAAGGTTACTGTTTTCCCCATTTTAAAGCTGAGGTTTAAGGAACTTAGATCAAAAAGCCATTCTGTGGCTGTCAGATCCCTAACCTGCACTCTTCACATAGAACTGTGCCCCCTTATTAATCTTTGTCAAGGACTTCATAGATATTCTTGTTGTTTATTTCTCCCTATGACCTTAGGATTAGTTTGCCAGTGTATTTGGCTGAATGAATAATTACCTGGTCAAGTATATTCTCCTTCCAGGTTATCTGCCAGAGGAGACTCTTCTTCTAAGGGTCACTTACTTTTTTACATAGTAGTCACTCCAGATAGGCAGATTGTCACGCTAGCATGGAAAAATGCCTCGTGTATTTTCATACCTTAGTCTCTTCATTAGTTCCTTTTCCCCTGGTTGTTTCCTTATAACATTTGCCCTCTAGAGTATACCATGTTTTTTCCTCAACTCTCTGCAGTGCTTATATTATTTTCCCCACATTAAACACTTTGAATTAACCATTCCTTTATCCTCCCACTTCCACTTCTTCAAATTACCCCTTTCTTTAACGCCCAATTCATGTTTCAAATGCTCCACCATTATCCCAGTAAATAGCAGGCACCTTTTCAGTGTGAATTTATTGTGTGCTGCTTGATAATGTTAGGAGCCATCCTGTGATTTTATGTTTGCTGTGAAAAGCATGGCTCTATCTTAAGGGTTATTGAGACTTCTTAGTAACAACTGACGAGGGTGAGCAAAACTGTTCTATGGGGTGGTGATGGAGCAGGGTGGAATGAACAGATCAACTTGCGTAATAGGCGTGACCTGTTAGCTAACTCTGTAAACTGTCAACAGTCAAGTGTGCTGTTAACCTGAGTCTGATTCGATCCAGCATCTATCCCCAAGGCTAAATGGTCATGCCATTCACATCCATCTATGCTCAATGCAGCCAGAGCAACATGGACATGTTTCAATGTATTGAAGAATTAAATCTCCCAATCTCTTCCTTGATTCCAGGATGGAGGCACTCGGGCTCTCAGGCATTTAAAAAATATGCCTCAAGTGCGTTTTCTATATCAAGTGTTGACCTAGAAGTCAGATAGGAAAGACTAGCCCTGTGCCTTTATAACACCAGTGGGAGGAGAAAGAAAAGTAAGTCAGAAGCTCGTGATTGCATCATGGACTCACAGCCAAAGGAAGTCTTTCTGAGTCAACGGAGAGAGGTAGAAGAGCATTTAGAGCAAGGGTTCTCAACTGGGGGTAATTTTGACCGCCAAAGGACATTTGGCCACGTCTAAACGCACTTTTAGTTGTCATAATTGTGGGAGTGGGAGCTGCTAGTGGTGTCTAGTGAGTAGAGGATAGCGATGCTGTTTAACATCCCAGATGCACAGGATTGCCCCACACAAAGAATTACCTGGCCCCAAACATCAAGCGTGCCAAGTTTGGGAAACCTTTCTTTAGAGAGAGGGCAAGGGGGCTGAGGGCATCAGGACTTTCACTGACTGGGCTGGGGTTCAGGGCTAAGGTCCAGCAGTAATAGGAACAAAGACAAAAACAAAACAAAAAAACACAAAAGCCTAAGAACTAGGGCAGAGGGCCAGTTGGATGTACAGACTACCAGCAGCAGTAGTGTCATGCAGCTGTCATGAGTGCCAGTTTGGGGAGTTTGGCCACAGCAGATGATTCCTAGAGCCATCTAAGAGAAAGAATCAACTACATGCCTGTCATGGACTCACAGTGAACATACAGGTGCTGGCTACTATTGGATCAGTGAAGGAAGTCAACAGGGTTGAAAGTGGCCTTTCAGTATTTCCTAAATAATTTCAGGATAGGGATTAATTGTTAGCATGTTTATGTCCTCTGGAATGCTTAACCAAGTGTCCTATATTTGTTCAATTAGTTTATTAATTGACTGATTGATGGTGTCCTTAATTGGTCATGCCATTTCCATCCATCTATGCTCACCACAGCCAGGACAACTTGGATATCTTCCAGTGTATTGAAGAATTGAATCTCCCAGTGAGGATCTTGGCAATCATATCACGAATAGGCTTGGATTCAACCCTGCATTTAAATAAGAATGAAACAAGCACACTCCATCCCTGTGGATAGCAAGCTGCATAATCTGCTTACTTATGGCTGAGTAAACATCAGAAATGGAAGTGATAGGCAGTAATGTTAGTGATGAATTACAGAACAGCTCCATTTAGTTTATTCCACCAAGACAAAGCATTCCAGCAGCCTCTGAAGAAATTAATGTACCTTAATTTGAATTAGTGGATAATTTCAGATCAGCTATTTTACATATCTAGCTTCTTCTCCTTCCCCCTCTAGGTTACCTCTTGCATTTTCTCTGCCTAGATCTGGCTATCAAAGCTAAATATTGAAGCTAAACATTCTATAGGTTAAACATTAAAGTAAAATCAGTGGACATGAGTCATGTCCTTACTCTCTCAATAGATGCCTAGCCTTATTCTTTTTTTTACAGAGCCTTGTTTTCACAATTGTCATGTTAGCTCATGGAGGAAGTTATTACCTCCTCCCATGGTACTTACATGACCGTAGAGAACCCTAGAAATCAGACAGACTTTACATCCAGTGAAAATTACTCTTTGGCGGTAGGATTTTAGGCACCACAAAGGCAACTGTGGACAGAGAAAGCCTCTGACTGGCCCTAATAATCACATCATATCTACAAATAAGTAATATGCCATTGCTTGATCATTAACTTGCTGTGGGGCGTTGGCCGTGAAACTTCCTCTTTTTGTACCTCTATTTCTCCCTTCCAGATGATACTCACTTTCCATTTGCCAATCCGTAACTGGCAAGGACATCATCAAATGCAGTGGGCCAAGGCATAATCTCTCTCTTCTTCCACATATGGTGACTGAATTCCTGGAGCAGAGGACCTGGTGCACACAGAATTAGCCTCATTATATGATGAGCAAGGTCTTCTAATATTGTTATTCCTTACTGTCGTGAAGACTTCTTTTATGTCTGGAAAGACATTCAGGCAACTTAGCATTGTGATAGAAAACAGCTAAATTACTCTAGTTTTCTAAGTTCAAATCAAGATTTCATGCAACCCCTAGCATCTTACTAAAACCTGGGTTTCCTAAGTGGGAAGATGAATTGCCCACAAAATTATAAGTACCTGAATTGGGACTCCATTCTGTGAGGCAGAAACAAACGCAGAGACCATTTTTTCATCCTAGAGTGAGTAGAAAAATAACAACAGGTATTTTCACTTTCTTTTGGCACACTTGGTTTGGCCTAAAACCATCAACTGTAGAGGTATATTGGTCTCTAAAAGAAAAACAACCAAAGATGTACAAAAAAGGAAGTGCCTACTTGCATAGTGGAGTTAGAGAAGGTTTCCCAGAGGGGCCATTTTACCTGGTCACTGAATGCTGAAAAAGTAGAACTTTTATAGACATGCTAATGTCAGAAGCATGTGAACCAGAGCAACTCCATCTTAAATAGGAGCTGGGTAAAATGAGGCTGAAACCTACTAGTCTGCATTCCCAGACAGTTAAGGCATTCTAAGCCACAGAATGAGATAGGAGGTCAGCACAAGTTACAAGTCCTAAAGACCTTGCTGATAAAACAGAATCTAAAGCTCTATGGGGGACTTGATTTAAGGTCAAAGTTGAATAACCATAAACAATTACAAAGCTTTATCTGGCAGCCTGGCAAGGGGGAAAAGCTGCCCTTTCTCTCCTTGCCAGACTTGGTGCACAGTTAGTATATTGCAGTTTCTGAAGGAAGTTGAGATTCCTTCAGAGACTGAAGACTCTGAAGTGGAGGACTCAGCCACCCTCTCCCCCAGCACCAGCTACTCATGCTCTTGTGCATGTCTGCATTTCCAGCCATGGCACCTCCATTCAGCAGCTGCCTTATGTGTGGGGTGGGGTGGGGTTCGGCTTAAATACTGTGCAGGCACCTCTGCCAAGATCTTATCCTCAAGGACAGTTTTCACCACTCTGACTCAGTCTTTTTCACACTTATCTTCTTCCTGTTTCTCTCACTCCATCCTCCGAGTCCAAAAAATTGCAGGAACCTTTTGTTCCCTAGCTGGATGATCTGACTCTCACCTGGTGCCATTCCATGAGGAAAAATGGAGCACTGAGAGAGCTGGCACTACTCTTCTCTTTTTGCTCTCTTGCTTACACTAACACAGTACATGAATAAAGCCTTGATTGTTGCTTTCAGTTTGGCTGTTGTCTTAATTGATCACCTTGACAACTCACAAGTCTTAACACGTACTCTACGTATTCATAATGTACAGTTTTCAATTAAAAATGAGACATGTAGAAACATGAAAATGATGGTCATACTCAAGAATAAGGAAGATGAGGAAGAGGAGAAAAATATAAAGCAAACCCAATATTGTCTAGATGCTGCAATTAGCAGAGAAGGACTTTAATGCAGCTGTTATAAATATGGTCAAGGACTTAAAGGAAAACATACATACAATGAATAAACTAATAGAGAATATCCGTAGAGAAATAAAAACCATGTTAAAGAACAAAACGTGAATTCTAGAGCTGAAAAAATAAAATTATTGAAATAAAACATTTATTGACTTAACTATAGATTGAAAATAGTAAAAGAGTCAGTGAATTTGAAAATAGATCAATAGAAATGATCTAGTCTAAAGAACAGAGAAAAAATGATGTAATTAAAATGAACAAACCCTCTCAGAGAGCTGTGAAACCATTTGTTAAGCAGCTTAATGTATATGCAATTGGAGTCCTGGAAAGAGAACAGAGAAAAATTAAGCAGAAAAAATATTTAAAGAAATACCAAGTGAAGCTTATGAAGGACATCAGTTTAGAGATTCAAAATGCTCCCACAAACCCCAATCAGTATAAATGCAAAGACGCAGCAAGACGTATCATAGTCAAGCAGATAAAATGGAAAGATAAAAAAGAAATTTCAAAAGCAACCAGAGAATGACATATTACATACAGTGGAAAATTGATGCAGATCATGGCTGACTTCTTAATCAGAAACTATAAAGAATTGAAAACAATGGCTACTTTTCTAGGAAAACCTATGCTATGACTCATATCTCAGTCATATTATAAATTGTAGCCAATAGATAGAAATCTGCTTTAATTGCCCACACAAAGTGTCATTATAGAGACTAGGACCAGGTTTTTTACTCATCATGGAAATGTACAACAAATGAACAATCTCTTAAGGGTGGGCAATAAAATTCTAGGCTTGGAAAGGAACATAGTAGCTCCAGTCCATTTTTAGGTAGGTAAATGTAAAGAGAGATTTAATCCAGAGAACTAAATGGGGATAAATGTAGAAATGTACCACACTGACAGAAGAAAAGACAGACAGATAATGAAGACACTGTGTAACTCAGATGTACCCAAGTCATCTAGCCTCTGGACTCATCCTCCTTTTAATATTCAAATAAAATAACTTAAATCCTATTCCAAGGGTGTGCATGAACTCATGGTCAGCTCTTCTTCTAAATTCCTGCTCTAATTGAATTACAGGCATTTATTCACTATCTCACCTCCAATAGCTGCTATTCTCTCTCCTTCTCTTATAACTTCAAGAGTGGATCCAATCCCCTTTTTATTCATTTACCAAAGTCCCACTAACTCAAGTCTATTTTAAGAAACAGCCTTATTCAAGATAATAGAGAATAAATTCTATACAAATTGGTAAAACTGAATGTTAGATTGTGTCCTAGAAATTCATCAGTCAGTTTCATTGAAAAAACAGCTCTCACTGTCTTGTTCTTCCTTAAGCAACATAATTGTCAGGTCTCCATATGCAAGCCTGGAGCCTGAAAGTCTGAAGTCCTGCTTGCCTCTGCTGAAGTCTCCCACCCCCTGCCTCCATTCACCATTGTCCCTGATTGCCCAGTGGAGCTCCCGACAAGCCCCTCACCCAACCCTGCCATCTTAACTGTTCTTATGATAATGTAAATACCTCTCACCCAACCCTGCCATTGTAACTGAGCTTGTATACTCCTTGCCCCTACCCCCCACCACTGTAACTGAACTTACTCTGCAACACTTCCACCCCCCCAAAACACTACCCAAACCTATAAGATCAATTCCTATCCCACTTCCCTTTGCTAATACCCTTTTCAAACTTAGCCCACCTGCACCCAGGTGAATAAACAGCCATGTTGCTCATACAAAGCCTGTTTGGAAGGTCTCTTCATTCAAAGCACGTGTTTTTTCAACAGCAATCATCCCATGTTACTTGGGCTGCTATTCTCTAGATAATTCCTACTGCACCTCTCCTTTTCTCTAAATTTCCTCAGGTGACCCCCCTGCCTTATCTAGAGCTATCAAAGGCAACTCCCAAATTCCCATTACTTTATTTTTATTATTATTTTTTTGAGATGGAGTCTCGCCCTGTTGCCCAGGCTGGAGTGCAGTGGTGCAGGTGTGATCTCCACTCATTGCAACCTCTGCCTCCTGGGTTCAAGCAATTCTCCTGCCTCAGCCTCTTGACTAGCTGGGATTACAGGTGCATGCCACCATGCCCAGTTAATTTTTGTATTGGGGTTTCACCATGTTTTATACTGTGGTGTGGAATGATCGAATTCTTTGTTTCAGTGTCACTTTCTTTTGATTCTAATTCAAGAGCTTAACGTTTTCCAACAATAACATCAAAACCCAGTAAGTCAATTTTCTAAACAAAATGCAAACATTTCCTAATAAATATTATTTCATCCTGTAACAGTGTTTTCAGAATGTGGACCTGGGATCATACACCAGTCAGAGTCTCAGTGGAAACTGATTATTAAATTAGGATCATTTGAGGAAAGTTTAAGAAGAGACTCTTTACAACTATATGGGCAGAGCATAGGGAACTGCCATGGATACCAAAGTAACCTGGGGCTAGCAACAAAACTATCACCACCTGTAATCTCAAAGGACAAAGGAAGGAAAAGTTTACACTAAGCAAGAATGAGAGAGTCCTGCATATAAAAGGTCACCTTGAGAAGAAAGAGACCTTCAGTTAAGGGCTACAGCCAGCCGCAGGGAAAACAGCAAGGTGAGGCTGGGGAAAAAATACCCTGATCTTCTCTTCCCTCCTTCTCATTTCCTTCCAAGATTCTCCATTGACTGAGCCTAACCAGAAGCCAGAATGCAAGAGAGGCTTTTGAGTGTCCCAGACACTTCTTAGAAGAAGAGAAGAATGCAGGGTGGATCCAGAGGGACAAATGGAGGGTTTCTGGCAGAGATGACCTGAATCAGGATCATTATGGACAACAGTTTATAAAGCAGATCTCCTTTGAGAAAGGATCTGGTGGTTTGCATTTTCAAGCAGTTCCCTAGGTGTCTCTGTTTGATTTTAACTTATCATTTTGGGGGAAAAAAAGTAATCTAAGCTTATATAAAAGGTGCAAGAATGAACAACAAACATCCATAACCCTTCCAGATTTACCAGCTCACCAATTGTTAACATTTTGTCACATTAGCGCTCTCTCTCTCTCTCTCCGGTAATCATATGGGAGAAAACTGTAGACATCAGGACATTTTACCCTAAATATATCAGCATACCTGTATATAAAATAAGATAGTCTCTTAACCACAATCCAATTGTCAAACTCAGGAAATATATTGATATAAAAGTATTATTTAATATAGAGCTTATATTTACATTTTGTCTTTTGTTCCAATAAGGCCTTTGTACACATTTTTTAAAAATTCAAGATACAATCAGGATTATGCATTGCATTTAGCTGTCATGTCACCTTATCTTCAGGCTGAAACCTGAAACCTGAAACAGTACCTTTCCTTTTTTTTTATTTTTTTTTTTGAGACAGAGTCTCACTCTTGTCACCTAGGCGGGAGTACAGTGGCACAATCTTGGCTCACTTCAACCTCTGCCTCCTGGGTTCCAGCAATTCTGCCTCAGCCTCCTGGGTAGCTGGGACTACAGGCATGTGCCACCATGCCTGGCTAATTTTGTATTTGTAGTAGAGACGGGGTTTCACTATGTTGGCCAGACTGGTCTTAAACTCATGACCTCAGGTGATTCTCCTGCCTCAGCCTCCCAAAGTGCTGAGATTACAAGTATGACCCACTGCGCCCAGCCAGTACCTTTCCTTTTTAAGAACTTGAATTTTTTGGAGAGCACTGGCCATTTGTTTTGTAGAATGCCCCTCCATTTGGGTTTGTCTGGTTGTTTTCTTATAATGAGATTTAGGCTATATATTCTCGGTAGCCATACAATATAAGTTGTATTATGTCCTCTCAGAGGTCTTAGTAGGTATACTCATATTTGAGAATCACTGCCAACTAGCTCAAATTGCAGCCAACTTTTAAAATAACATTTTTAAAATTTATGCTAAAGAAAGCAATTATTAAGATCTCACTATAAGCAGAGATGTAGTCTAGATACTTCAAATGTTGTCTCATTTAAGTTTCATAATAATGTTTTATTATTATTCCACCTTCAAAAATGAGAAAACGATCTCAGAGAAATTTAAGCCTATGAGCAGCAGAGAGAGG